CTTATAAATTATGCATGTAAAAAGTAATCAAAAGCAATAATGGCAAGCACAAAGATAAAGCTGTATAATAATGATTTTAAATAATAAATTTCATATCTAGATTGAGGCGGACTTTAACGGATAATTTTATAATATTATTATGAAGGAAGTATATATAATAAGCACGCGCGACTGTTTGAATTAAATTAATTAAAAAAAAAAAAAAAAATGTAATATTAATAATTATATATTCATTCCAATATTAAAACTTTTATTATTCATTATAATTAATACTAATGAAAGTTCGTTTATCTTTAAAGCACTCGAACATTATATAAGCTCGCTGATCCTACTAGATTTATCATACGAAATTTCACTATTAATATTTCATTTTTGTGCTTTTATTCATATTTTACATAATCTATGAAATACAACGACGAGGAGAATTATGTACGTCCATAATTACTTTTTATTATGCATAAAAATTGAATTAAATAATTAATATCATAAGAAATTTCAAATATTATTTTCAATCAATAGAATCGTCCTTCATTATTTATTTGTTATTTTCTATTTTATATTACGTATGGCTCCATTAGCTCTATAACATACATCCAAACTACGTTTTTTTGTTTCAATTTACAAAATTTAATGATTAATTGTAGACAATATTTATAAACGAATACATTAACACAATTAGAAATTAAAATATTTTTATCTAAATTTTTTCTTAATTTTCTAATTATTCAATACTACATCTCTCTTATCCCATTAATCTTATTTTTCTTTTAATATATTTATTTATTTATCTTATTAATAATATTAATACAATGAAAATTTATCATATGGTAAAAATGTGAAATTAATTTTTCCAATAATCAGATCGTAAAACAATGCTGTAAAAAGAAAAATAGAGTGGACTTAATTGTACATGTAAAAATTGTATTTGGACATGTTTATAAAGTCAGGTATCGGAACATCTTCACTTAGATGATAACAAATGCAAAGTAATAATGATTTAAATTCAGTTGCTTGTTTATTCAACATTCTTAAATTATTATTCTTAATTCTGCGAATGAGTAGTGAATTAATAATCACCTACTGGATAAAACACGCGATTTCCTTAATTATCTGTATATATATATATAGTTTTATATAGATTAACAACACAATTTATTGCATTGATCCTCGTTATAATTTTTCATAGCCAATTGATAAACGTTCTTTTTCAACTTCAAGTCATTTAGAAAATTAGAACTTCGTGATTCTTGATTTCATATTTTCTTTCGAATGAAAATCTGACGTTCAAATTATTAACTAAAATTCCGTATGAACATTTTATTTTATTTAAACATTCATTTAGAAATGCCAGATATGACTTCAAATTTTATTGTGAATATGCTTTCAATACATTTTTAATATATTTCAAATTAAATAAAATATAATAAAATTAAAAATATTAAATAACATTCGTGAAAAAATACACAAAAATAAAATATAAAAAATATTAATGGTAAAAGCTAGAAGATTTACTTTAGAATGCGCCAATGATTAATAAATAAATTAATAATTATGATTAATTTCTAAAATGACAAATTCAAAGATAAAAATATTTATTAATACAAGACAAATAACGAACTAAGAAAATTACGTATTTAATATTTTCCAGTACTACAGTTTCAAATATTTTATTACTTCAGTATAATGTTATGATTCATAGTTTTTATGATCCGTTTGCTTTGAAAGTAATAAAAAAAGATAACAAATTTTTTAAAACTGCGAGACAAGCTTGGATATTGGTGACCTTTATTAAATTAATAGATGTGCCATTGCTCTGTGAAGGTATCGTATTGCTGTTAATCGATTAATTGTATATAAATATTTTGAACTGTTAATGGCAAATGTAAATTGAAACGGCATAATACAAAATTGAAAATAATTTTATCAGATAAATCAATTTCAAGGTTAAATTTCAAGAAAAAGAGAAGACAATCATATATTTTTCATTTATTAATCATTAGTATGAGGTTATAATATATTAATATAATATATAATTTTTAAGAATTTATATTTTTCTATTATTAAATGTAAATAATTAAAAACGATACGAAGTTGTTTGTTCATTTTTATAATAAATAATATTCTATTAATCCAAAATACATTTAAAGAATTCAATGATGCTGTAATGTTATTCAATGTATGTGATAATATGATTAAAAATGCAGTTTAATTATAAATATTTATAATTAATTCTGTTTATTATGTACAGGCTTATAATTAATTTATATTCTTACAAAAACAGAATATTTGTAAACCCGACAAATTACTTATAATTCATTAAAAAAATTAATTATGGAAACAATCGTTTATCGCTATATTTAATTATATCCTATGGGAAGAATTTCATTAAAATGTATATATTTATTTTTACAAAGACGTAAATCCCAAATCTAGTAAATAGGAAATAAAATAGATTTAATCGAATAATCGTTAATAAAGATTGAATCTTGTGAAATAATATTCAAAGCTTTTCTTCAATTTTCCTATAAAATATTATATAGTTTTAATGGATCTTTAATGTCGAGAAAATATATTATAAGCAAGAAGTAATGCATTAATACTATGATTGATGTGTATGACGAAGCTTAGAAAACAGTTGTATTATAAATGGAATATATATATATATATATATATATATATATATAGAAATGCAAAATTAATCATTTCTAAAAAGTTTATATTTATGAAAATTTACACAAACGTTTTTAAGCAATCACGTTACTAGATATATGTAGAAAATACGTGAGTTTTTGTGGATATATAGATAAATAATCCATTAAAACGAATAATAATATTAAATAATAAACAATGAGCTTAATATGTATTAATACCGACTATTTTTGAAGTATCAGTATTTTAATACTTCAGATATATAAATTTATTTAAATACATACACACGGGCGCGCGTTTAAATATGCATGTTATTATTGGGGGGGGGCGCATGTGTGCAATAATATAATATGTATTGAGTATTATACAATTAAGCAAACGTAATAGAATGAATTATAGTTAATATTATCTTATATGCGCGTAAAAATTTGATTATACTCATATTAATATAGTAAATTGAATTGTAGAATCAATAATACCGGTTATTATGTTTATTATATATAATCATTTATCGAATAAATAATATATAAATAATTTTCACAATGATTTTAATCTAAACCTATATTTATTTCTTCTTCGACAGTTACTTAATAAAATTAAAAAATTCAACATTCAAAAATCAAAATATATCATTCTGATTTACTGCGAATGAAATGGTTAATACAATATTTAATTAATTCAGCCGCACATAAAATGCTGTAACTTTAACAGAAAGCTTTGCAGTGCATGGAAAGTTACAGTTAATGTAACTAATAAAATGTTCATTATTTGCAGTTAGTTTGAAACTAAAATTTATATATGCATATATGAATTTTCTGATAATAGTAAAAGTGTACAGTATGAATAAATAAGTACAAAGCTTTAAGAGAAAAATTTACAAGCGTACATTTGATTAATAATCAAATGTAAAAAAATATCTCGCAGTTATTATTTTTGTAAAATAATTCTCATTAATTATAAATTTGATATGAAAATATTTATTATAAGTGGAATAATTGTTGAAGGAACATTTTTCTTCCAGAATGATTTAATTTATTAATATTTTTAGTTTGAAATAATTTTATGAAATCACGTAATAATGCTTATTAAACAGTATTACCATAATATTTATCATACCTTTTGAAAGGAAAATTAATTAACGTAAACAAAAAAACTAGTATAATAATATTGTTTATTGAGTTTGCTGTTTTATAATTGCTTTGGTAATACCAATATGCTGATAAATAAAATACAGTATTATGAAAGTTTATATAAATATTTTTAAGCAAATATCGATATTTAATGATACTGTAACTGATGGATAATAAGCTTTAAAAATTCCTGTGATAGTAGATTTATCATTTTCGAGAAAAGTATTGTAAAATTTTTGTATCCTTTTTTTTTTTTTTTTTTTTGCAATGGCCATAGTTTTATCTTGTATTTTGATAGTACAATTCGAGTATCATTAATCAAGTTATTTATGAACACTTTATATAAAATATAGAAAGAGAAAATCGTGAGCGAATAGAAAAAAATGAAATAAAAGTGATAGCGTGTAAGTATAAGTATGCGTTATTTAATATTCTTTCGACTTTTATTATTATTGAGTGTGCTTCGATAACTTTGCATGTATCAATAATCTATCCTAATAAGTATTTATTTTTTTCTTTTGGTTCTGTTCTATTCTAAGTTGCTCTGAAACAATAATTAATTCTATAGCGATTAAAGCTCTAATGTACAGTGACTTAGCATCATGTATGAAAGGAATAACAGTTTATCAATATAAATAATAAAATCCCATTGAGTTTTCATAGTAAAATGAGATAAAAGCAAACCACTTGCTTTTATTTTTTTATTGTTTACATGAGCGCGAGATACCTTTTATTATTATTATGATTTGAGCGAAACCTCTGTGAAACTTTTCAATCATTGGACAGACACTGTCGATAAATTGAAAAATTTCATAAAAAATTCATCAATGAAAGAAAAAAGGAAAAAAAAGTTTATTGACTATCGTATCGCATTCGTATTTATTTACACGTTGCTCCAAGACCTAATTACAATAATCGGCTAATTAACCGCCGTAGCAAGTTACTCGACAATCCGAATGAGCGACAAATCAGTATTTGTTAGAGAAAAGTTTTACGTGCCGTTAAGCAGGAAGCTCTAGTCTTAAAGTGTGCCCTCCTTTCACATTCGCTTATGTAAAACGAGCGGCACTAGAGCCGTCGCGCCATGCCCATCCGTGCCAATCCGTAAATCCAAAAAAAAAAAAAAAAAAAAAAAAAAAAAAAAAAAAATAATAATAATAAGAGCTTCTCACGGGGCAGCTGACCGCTCGACGTCCATTAAACCTATCTCGTCCGCTTTAGAGCTGCAAGATAGCTGCCAATTACGCTGAGACCTCGGCAGGCGCTCGGCCAAAGAAGAAGCGGGTCCGCGATGTCATCCCCGAGTCCCGACTGGCGAGCTACGGTGACTTTGAGTACGAGGACGATGCCGAGGTACAGCTGCTGCCACCGTCACCATCGCCACAAGCGGCGGCGCCGACGCGCGGACCGGACGGGTATTTCAATGGGGTCGGACGAAGGGAGGAGTCGGAGCCGAGCAGCAACGAGGTCGAGACACCCAAGGAATCGTGGATGCTCGACGAAGTCGAGGAGTACATCGCCTGGGTAACGGCGTCCTCGAAGTGCTCCAGGCCCGAACACGAAGCGTTAGTTACTCTCATTGCTATATTCGGAAAATTTCTTTGCCCTCGAGTTGCTGAAATATTGCTGGCTTTATTATTGCTGGATTCTGGCGGCATTGTTCCATGCCGAAGGATACGCCTTTTCCCGGCAATCGTTCGGCTGCTCGATTACAACTCCACCACCACTCGATTTATACTCGATTTATACTCGATTTATACTCCATTTATACTCATCAATTTATACTCGGCCGTTCTCCTCATTCGCCCAATTAGGAATAAATGGCCAGTGGCGCACGTTATTTGCCAGGCAAATTCAGAGTCACGGATAAGAATGAGCGCTTCTTTAATTGCGCTCAGCTTCATATATTTTTCATCAAAACTAAATCAAATTCGCTACGGCTATTTGATGCAACGAACGCGCCTCCTTCGCGTTATACCACTAATAAATGATAGCTGATTTTGCCGTGAAAATTATTAATGATGAATTATTGTTCGTGAAAAATGTACGCGTGCGATTATGTGTGTGTAAGAGAGAGAGAGAGAGAGAGAGAGAGAGAGAGAGAGAGAGAAACTTGGACGTTGTGATTCGGAAGAAAAAATTCATACTCTAGCTATACAACTTTAGAGAAGTTTATTTTATTTTACACGCGGATTGTTAACGAATAAGTTGAAAAAAAAAGAAAAAAGAAATGGAAATATAAATAAATGAGATTTCCGTCGAAAAATCGAGTCCGATGAGATTCTACGTTACATGAAATTTTAGAAACTCTAAACTCCAATGTAATTGTACAAAATTTACAGAATAAACAAATAAGATTTTTTTACTTAATGACTCGTTAACTTCTTGTTTTGTTACTTTTTTCAATCTAATACAGACAAAAATAGAAACAGTACGATTTTTACAAACGTCAATAATAAATATTAAATAATCTTTTATATAATTCTAAATATAATATGACCTTTTCTATTGTTTTAGTTAATTTCAGTTCCAAAAACGTACTATTTATTTTTTTTTTTTTTTTTACAATATTTCATTAAAATATTTATACGGTAAATAATACTTTGATATTGTATACAATGCTATATTGATTCATGCAAACTTTTTCAGAACAAATGTATTGAAAATGAAAAGAAACATGTGATTCGATATTTGCACAGTACTAATTGAAACTATCGAATATTTCATTGAGTTGATAAAAATTTTCCAACATAATTATAAAAGAATCCCAGTGTATATATTGGTAGAGAAAAATTTAACTAGCTAAATTTAAACAGTTAAATAAAAAAATAAAGAAATCTTTTTGAAGATTGTCATGTACTTGGACCCTAATGCGCTTTCTATACACTAATTGGAAAACCTGTAATACAAGCATAATTTCTTATCGATACACATTATCTTATAAACAGTTGCATTACATTGATTCAGAAAATCTTTTAAAGCATTCATACATGCTTATCAATTTCCATTAATTAATATATATTCTTTAAAAATGTTTAGTGCAATTAAATGACTTTTTAGATATTGAAAATTATTCAATATGCCGATAATACGTGTGATAAAGAATTTTTAATAGGAAAAATTTAATGGTAAAATGTAATATGAGCGCATTAAATAGTAAAGCGCGTGAAATTAGACAAAACATTGCAAAGTAATAATCCGTCAAATACGTCAAGTGTATAGAGAAAAAATAGTGTTATTGAGCAACTAATTAAATATTTATCAATTTAAATAATGCAAAAAATTTTGTAAATTTGTTAAATAATGTGAAATTTGATAATAATAATAATAATAATAATAATAATAATAATAATAATAATAATAATAATAATAATGATAATAATGATAATAATGATAATAATAATAATAATATTTACTATTAAATATAATTGTGTGAGAATAATCAATCTTAGAAATGAAATTGTAAAGTAATTCAAACTTAATCTTCGATACGTTCAAATACGAAAAATAATGAATGAAACATTTTTTTAAATTTTGAAACTTTTTATTATGATTTTTTGAATGTTTTACATCGAATTTTATTATCATGAGCAAACAGAAAATAAATTACCTTTAAATTCTTTGATTTTTATTGTTATAAAATTATTATATTTCATTTCTTTAAATTAATTAATATTATACTTCGTTTAATAGTACCAATAATGATATTTTACTAAACAAATACAATGGTATCAATTTATTATTGATTTAAGCAATAAATATATAACAATAAGAAATTTTTAAATTATAACGAAAAATTAACGAATAGTGCATTGAAATAAATTAAGAAACACAATAATAGAGATGTTTATCGTTAAGGTACATCATCTTTGTTTGGTTTAAACGAGGCCAAAGCAAGCTAATTATTGTTTATATTTCAAATTAATAAATATTTTGATATATTAGCGGTTGCTCAATAATTCAATTTAGGTTATTTCCTCTATGCGACTTAAGTTATTATTTACCAAAAAACAAATAACAAAAAAAAAAAAAAAAATCTTGATAAAGATAAAAATTTTCAAAAAGTCATATTTTCTAAAAATATTTGCTCAATTATAGATACAAAGCAATTAAGTATTATAAACACCGTCTTGTTAATTCATAATATTTATAATAATGTTGTTTTTAAATGCTTTTTTAAATTGTATCGAAACGTTTTGGAAAATAACGTTACTAAAAATATATATTATCAAAAAAAAAAAAAAAAAAAAAAAAAAAAAAAAAACAACCGATTAATCACTGTCTAATAATAATAGATAATTATTCTAAATAATTATCAATAGTTTTGTTAAATGAAAGTCTTGCATTTCCAATAATTACTAATCATAGTTGAGTGAACATGTAGTTGGCATTTTAATGTGCTTGCAGTAAAATATTCAAATATCGAAACTCCATAGTAATTTAAAAAACTAATTTGAATATTTTATAATTAATGTTTATCGACGAATTTTTATAAATTTCAAACGACCAATATGCTTTCATATAAAATTTGTAAAAATTATTTTCTTTTTTACCAACCTAAGTACACGAGGAGATTGTGGATGCCGACATAATAAAATTTAAATATGCATATAAAGTTATATTGAATTTACAATGAATAATATAAAATTTCACCTTAAATAAGAAGTTTTTTTTTGTAAATTAATGAATTTTAATAGAAATTGAATAGATAAAATTTAATGGGAATTTAATGAAAGTTCTAAATTTAAAATCTGTATAATATAACTTGAGGTCGGTAGGATATTTAAAATTCTTCAGTAACAGTGAGTGAATAACTCGATACAAAGATTAGTATTATAAAAGAGAGAGGGAGTGAAATTGAAATTTTTTTTCGATTTCCGTTGGATAATTGAAATATGTTTACTTAATTTTCTGATTCCGCTGCAGTCTAAATAGGATGAATAATTACTTACAGTGCAATATATTACAATCGTTAAACAATATAATGAACAATTAATTGAGCTTTATTGATTGATCTATCACCGCAGATATAATAATGTATATTTATTTATTTTTAAGTAAAATGTAAAAGTAATTTAATGAGACATTAAATCCTTGAGATTTTACCTCGTCTCGTAGCTTTCGATACTTTGCAAAAATTTAAATCGTAAAAATAATTTAATTCACTTGCAATTCACTGAGGCACTTATTTTTGATATATTTGATATCCCATGACAGGAAGACTACGTAAAAAGCTATGTTTAATTAAAATTTATTTCTTTAAAAAAGAAAATGACAGGTTAAAGCAGAATAGAATAAAACATTTATAAACGTTTACTCGACATAAACATACTTTTTTTTTTTATTTATTTATTTAATTATTTATTTTTTAATATAAAATCATCGCGTTCTTCTTTATATATATATATATATATATATATATATATATAAATCTGCTTTCACATTATTCGATTATGGTTAAGATTGGTCGTTTCCTTAACCAGTTTCCTTCTGGAGAGCAAGGGACTTTCTTTAGCGGGTTTTCTTTTTCAGGACAACAACTATCGATTTGTCACGTGGTATTTAACTTGTAAAATCCTAGATAAGATAAAACTTAACTATAGTTTCTCTTTTTCAAAGCCTTTCATTTTAAAAATTCGAAAACTCGCTCCTTATTGATTAACATTAGAAAGCTTCGAGCCTGCCATTTTTATGATCTTTTATAGGAAGAGATGATAATTATTTGTGCGCACGCACGCATTTTTCATCGATGATAGCTCCAACTCACGCAATGACATTCACATGGAGCTGTGTAGCCTTTTCGTTATTGTGAAAGGGCAAGTGATATAGTGATTAAGTCCTTGAATGTTCCGTTGTCACAAAAGTCGACGACTCGCTTACTTACCATCAGCTTTTCACTGATTAATATTGATTTTAGAATATAACTGATTTTCCATTCGATATAGCAAATACTTTTCTGGCTATACAACAACCTCTGTTGTTCAATTAAATGATATTGATCTACATAAGCGTCAATTTATGGGACTGGATATAAGCTATAAAGGTTCGCCTGTTAATAAATATTCTGCAAAATTACGAGTAGTTATTTTTAGAAAGCTCGAGAGCATATAATTACATCTAAAATAAACGCACATCATCAGCTCAGCTGCAATCGCTAATGGAATAATATCGAAATAAGCTAATTATCGTGATTATACTGATTAACCAGCTCGAAAATTTTATGAAAATTTCATCTTATAATTCATACTTTCAAATTTCTAGTAAATTTAGAGATAATACAGTACTGTATAATTAGCATTATATTTAGTTGATCTCTCTAATATATTGATAAGCTGTAATTAGCCTGTCGTACCTTCGATAAAATGCTCTTATTTATTTATTTATTTATTTATTTTTTTTTTTTTGTATAAAATCCATTATAAATATAAGAGAAAATTATCATCGACTGTAGAAATAAATATTTACTGATACCTTGTATATCGCTGTATAAAATTATAACCAGTCCGACAGCATTAATTTACAATATTATTCATTTATTCAAAGTATGCTTGTTATATTGTAAATAACTATTCGCACAATTCAATGAAGTTGATTAAAGCTTACTATCAATGCAGATAAACAGGAAGTCGACTTGGACGATATTCGCTAAAGCACACACTAGATATTAATCTCTATTCACTATTTGCTAACTAATGTATATAAATATACATGTAATGTAGAGAGTGTTGTGACGAGAGTGCCGAGCTCGAAGGAAAATTATGCAACGCCCAACTTCACATTTACAATAGACAAATGCGTTTAGAG